CCCCCCCCAAAAAAAAACAAAACAAAAACAAATTACATCTGAATCTGCTTGTTAGAGGCAAAAGTGCCACGTTGGTGTGTAAGCTGCTGCTTTTAGAGGAAGGAAGAGTTTATCACAGATAAGCTGCTGAAGCTGCGTCTCTGTGAACAGCAGAAAGCCGTTCTCCTCCACAACAACAACACAAACGCACAAGTGTTGCTGCTTGTAAACTGTAATTATTTCTGTGTAGTTATTTTGTGGCTAATGTAACGATTCAGTGTTTCTATAAGGCTTCAGACCCCAGTTTAAGTGTGTGCTGGCTTCCTTTGTGTCCGAGCAGATGTACTTTTGTGTCTGCAGTACAAACTGAATTATTACTAAAAGCAGATAAATGTGAGGGAGGGCGAGTCGGGCTGGGCAGTGTCAAGCAGAGAAGGGAAGTCGGTGTCAGGATCATGTGTTAAAGCGTGCGCCTGAGGCTCGATTTGAAAACGCTCGGTAAGCTTCTGCCCCAACAACGATCATTTCATCGATATTTATGTGTCCTGAGTCTGTGACTTCCTTTATGTGTTTATGTACTTTTACACTGCTGTGATGTGACCGCGCTGACTAAAGTAGTTCAGGGTCTTGTTGTAAACTATCGGCTGTGTCATCGTTCTAAATGATGACACGTGTGTGGGTAACAGCTGATCTCACAACAATCAGACGTGTTTTTTCCTCTTTGTCTTTGAACTTCCTGCTGCTGTTTGTAAATAACAGATAAGGTTTTCAGAGCTTTCAGATGAACCACTTGTTTGCGTGCGCAGACTCAGGCAGGGTAAGAGTGACGGGACATCAGGTCAGATGACTGCTCACAACCATCACAACAGTTTGGTCCCGTTCATGGTCGTCATGTGAGCTGTTTAAAGGCGGCAGCAGTCATGAGACTCGGCTCATGGTCTGCAGTGAGGACTTGAGCCTGACACGCCACCTATAACTGTAATGTCACAATAACACCTTTTGTTTGAGTTAAACTGTGGTCATGTGATGATTATATTAACACCAAGCCTGGATGAACCTCGCAGCCTGTACAGCAGAGATGTCTGTCAGCCAATCCAGTTTCACTTCATTTATGCAGCATCAAATCACAGCTGAGAGATCGTCATATAAAAAAGACCTGCTTTCTTTTCTGCATTTAAGAAACGCTTTGATAACTCTGTCACACCTTCCCCTCAGGTAAGAGTCCTGGGGTCGTCCCGGCTCTCTTTCCTTCACAGCACATAGAAATATTTTCTTCCTCGTAATATTAACCTCTTGTCACATCTCGTTTAGGTTACTGTGATTCTCTTCTCTGTGACCTGCTCATGAGTCTCTCCATAAACTGCAGTTCGTTCAAAAAGCAGCTGCTTGTATTGCATCAGGACTTAGATCGACTGAACATATGAAATCTGTGCTTAAACAGCTCCGTTACTTCACCTCCTGCTTCTTACCTTCAAAGCGCTTCATAACCTCGCTCCTCCATATTGATCTGATCTCCCCCACTCGTACACGCCCACTCGTACACGCCCACTCGTACTCGCTGCTCTTCTTCTGTCCCACCTGCTCGCCTGACTTCTTCGGGACTCTGAGCCTTCAGTCCTTCTGGCCGAGACTTTGGACGCACCTCCAGCTGATCTCCAGACTACGAACTCTGTCTCCACTTTTAAATCGCGTCTTCAAACCCATCCACTCAGGACTGCATACCCTTCATCATTTTTCATTTAGCTGCTGTTTTTATTTTGTTGCACTAATGTAAAGTCACCTATAAATAAAATGGCTGATTATTATTATTATTACTATAAATCTGTCGTCATGAGTCTTTGGGATTAAGTTGAAAGAAATACAGATTTTTATATTTTTATAAATTAAAACACAAATGGAAATAAATATAAATCGTTTTTCTAATATTTAATGACTTTGGTATCAATGTAGCGAAAGCTGTAAAAATGTGGAAATGCAGTTTCCTTCTGGGGCCAGACTGGAGTATTCTTCTGGCTCGATTCTGGCCCTCGAGCCTTGTGTTTGACACCCCTGCTTTACAAGTGTTTGCGATTGTGTGCGTTTGATGTCTGCAGAGAGAGAACCGTCGCCTGCAGGAGGCCAGCATGCGACTTGAACAGGAGAACGATGACCTGGCACACGAACTGGTCACCAGTAAAATCGCCCTTCGGAACGACCTTGACCAGGTAATAAAAAGTCTACGAAACCTCCAAACACTCTGAAACCGGAGCTGTTTACACTCGTGCTTTAGCCGTGAGCATCTTTACACAAATGAGCACACGTGAGAATGCAAACACTGGACTCGGTCAGAATCGGTCTTAACCTGCCGACTCCTGGTTTCTGTATCCATGTAAGTCTGGTGAATTTCCAGTAAAAGGAGCGTGGCTCAGGCCCCACGTAGCAGAGAAAGTATTCCAGGTAGAGCTCGGACGAGCTGCGCGGCGTGAAAACGACCAAGCGACCAGATTGATGAGCGTAGTAAACGATCCTGTAAAGAAGCAGGTGTTTGTGTAGTCTGCCGCTTGTGTGAACGTTGTTTACTACACGATGTGTGTGTGTGTGTGTGTGTACGTGCACTCAGGTAGAAGACAAGGCCGATGTTCTGAACAAAGAGTTGCTGACCACCAAGCAACGTCTGGTGGAGACGGAGGAGGAGAAGAAACGACACGAGGAGGAGACGGCTCAGGTAACATCCACGCTGCTGCGATGAACGACGCTTAACAGGTTACATCAGTGACCAGAAAACACCGGAGTAAGCTGTGCAATTACAGCAGAGATCAAATAACGCAGGCCCTGTATCACTAATCTAAATCGGCCATTCCCAAAGTCGAGTGCTGCGGCCCCCAACAATCAGCCAACCAGTCTTAAATCTTCGCTCTAAGGCAGGAGTGGGGAACTCCAGGCCTCGAGGGCCGATGTGCTGCAGCTTTCAGATCTCACCCTGGGTCAACACCTGAATCAGATGGTGAGTTCATTACCGTCGGATCAAGGATGCATCTAAAGCCTGCAGGACACCGGCCCTCGAGGCCTGGAGTTGCCCCGCTTCTGCTCCGAGCAAAATACAAGAGAAAGCCCTGTATGTCCTAACCCTGCCACTGGGACACAAAGGTCAACACAGAGCATTACATTTCAGTAATATCACAATAATAATATTCACTTTTTATATAAATAAGTTGAACTGAATTTCTGTTGTTACTGTGGCCCACCTGTAGTACCTGTGCAGCCCACCAGGAGGCCCCAGCTCACACATTGATCTAGGGCTGATTTTCTTTCTGTGTAATTGGTAATAGTGAACCAGTTACACATCAACACACCCAGTAAATAAAAAATCCCAGTTTGGTAGCAGTGAGAGATCACATATGGGTCACCAGTCGGTGGTTGCTAGCAGGCTCTAAAAGAGCGAATCCAGGTCAAGTTGCTGAGTTGAACGCCTCAGTTGTGTCGTTATGCACAGTCAGCACATCTTTCTCATTAGTTTGTCATTTTAAAAGAATAATTTTGACATCTTGTTCTTGCTGTCCCAGCTGAAGGAGGTGTTCAGGAGGGAGCTGGAAAAAGCAGAGCTGGAAATCAAGAAAACCACAGCAATCATAGCTGAATACAAACAGGTCTGCTGGCGTCTCCTCATTGTGAACTGCACACATTGATGTATGCATTGTTATCTTGTTCAAGTCAAACATAACCAGGTTTCCTCTCTGGGTTTCAGATCTGCTCCCAGCTGAGCACCAGGCTAGAAAAACAACAGGCGGCAACAAAAGAGGAGCTGGACATCGTCCGGGTGAGACGGTCCTTTTAATGCAAAGTGTGCTTCAGACGCAAATTAGGACACTTGCTGAGTCCGAAGGAAAACCACAGTTGCGTGAGAGAACAAAAGACCTTTGAGCTTCAGGTTTGCACAATCAAGTCCTTAATGGGCGTGATGCTGATGTGGCGCTCTGTGCGTCTAGCAGGGTACCGCCTCGGGCCTGGATAAATGATACGGTGCAACATCACATCGTGATAATCGGGATGCTATACGGGACATAGAGCAGCAGGCCTTTCTTCACATAGACTCGGCCTCACCTCCTTTTTTTTAACCGTAATTTTAAAGTTGTCGTGGTAAACCTGTGTGTTTTTATCCCCCCCATGCAGAACAAAGTGATGGGCTGTCAGAACTGCAGGGACATGTTTAGCTCAGTCGGGTCCCTCCAGACTTCGTCTCCTGGTGGTGACAAGACGTCTTCAGAGCCACACGACGAGGAGAAGGACGGACTGAAGGAGCAGCTGAGACAGCTGGAGCTGGAGCTGGCGCAGACCAAACTGCAGCTGGTGGAGGCAAAGTGCCGCATTCAGGTCAGCAGGTGTTAACGGCATCTAGTGTTTTCAGGGAGGCATGCCAAGCACGTGATCCAACCAAAGGCTGTAAAGACATTCAGCTAAAACACACATGTTGCTGATGATCTGATTGGCTGTTGGATCACGTGCACAGAACGCTGAACAGCAGCAGCAGCAGGAAATTTACTGTATGCACTTCAACTTCCTGCATCTGTTTTCTGTCTCTGCTGTGACAAATAACGACTGTCAGCTTAATAACATAAAACAGGAGCACGTACAGAAGCATGGAGCCCACTGCAGGCCACCATGTGACCCTTTGTAAGGAGTGAAGCGTTGTAGAGTATTAAAGCACAGCGATGTGACACAGTGATAAACCTGCTCGTGCTCTCATTAATGACTGAATCCTTCTGTGGCTCTGCAGGAGCTCGAGCATCAGCGGGGAGTTCTGATGACCGAGATTCAAGCCAATAAGAACTCTTGGTTCAGCAAGACTCTGGGGTCCCTGAAGAGCTCTGCGTCCTCTTCCTCCAGCTCCACATCCCAGACCCCGTCCTCTCCGAAGGAAGGCACTGCCTAGATCAAGCTCCTTCGCCCTCCCTCGCCCCGCAGGATGCACACTAGAGCTGAGGAACACAAGCCGAAGAAGCAAGAAGCGCAAAAATGCAGTATTCCTTTTTCAGTAGGCAGAAACAGGGAGCTTCCTGGACCGCAAATAGCCCAAAACTGTGGGAAGAACCAGGTGGGGGGACTGAATGAACCATCTGCCTGAGTTTGAGGGAAATATGAACCTTCTCCACTTCACAGTGGATCAGAGCAGACGGGGCGAAGAAGTTCAGTGCTGGAACCTGGTTGGGTCTCTTCGCTCCACCTTGTGGCCAGATGGCGCTATTGCAGCAATATTGTGTGAAGTTTCCTGGTAGCTTGAAAGTAAAGCGGAGTTCAACATTGTGTTGTGATCACAGGCGTCTCATACGTTTAAGCCTCAGTGCAGAAATAGCCCACACGTGCTCTGAGAAAGGAATACTGCATACAAGTGAGATAATACGAAACTTGTATTTCTTTATATTAATGTAACGTAAACAATGTTGTCTTATAAATATGTATAACTGATTAGTAATTTTTTTTTTAATAATCTTGTACAGAAAAAACACACGAGGCAAAGTTCTTAAATTTCTTTTCTACTCTTTGAATGTCATCTCTTCAGATGTTGAGGTAAGCACAGTGTGTGATCGATGTGGTGGAGTCCAAACGCTGACGGGCCAAAGTGACAGCCGCCAGTTTCTGTTCCCCTCTAACTGTTTTTATGGTCAAGACTTTGTAATCTTTCTTGGTTTTAATTTCTAAATCGAGTTTTACTTTCTCGTGTTTGCAGATAAAGGCTTTTTTTAGATATCTGTGATGGTGACAGCAGTGGCCTCTGATTCTGTTATTTTATAAATATAAAACTGATAATACGACGCGTTTGAGACATATTAGCTGCATGTTTTTAGCTGGAGATGTCACAGGCTGCGCTCTTATGAAAATCTTTAACCTCAAACATTAATAAGTAGGATTAATGCGTACTTATTGCAGTATTGCTCCACTACGGTTAAATAGACCAGTTGCACAAAGGTGCCAACGCCCTCGTCCTTTGTTGTTGGATCATTATTTTTACACATCATCGCCATGTTGATCCTTTAGTCCATAAATGAGTGTTGGCTCTGACGCTCCACGGTAACGCTCCACGGTAACGCTCCACGGTAACGCTCCACGGTAACGCTCCACTGTGAGCCGTTCACGTATGTTTAAATAGTCACGTGCGTCTACTTTATGAGACGAACAGCAGATGGCGCCAAATTCAAACGAGCTGCTTCTTTGATTTCAGAGGACAGAAATAAAAATTGCTGTGAAATTAGCCAAAACAAAATGTTTTGCGTGTTGGTGCTCGTTTAGCAGATATAAGCTGCGGTGCGGTGCCAACTCCCCTGCTTTACTCTTTGGTTGACACTAACATCAGCCTTTGGACTCGGACCAATCCCACGTGTACTTTATGTGTGTGAATGTGTGTGTTCTGCACTGTTATTCAAGTGGTTCAAGTCGATGTTCCTCGTTCACGTGGCTGCCTTTTCTGTTAATGACTGAAGCGATCGACTGTTTGAACTGTCTGACAGCGTCAGCTGTGCCATAAGAGCCTCTCCTCTGCTCCCTTCTTGTAGTCGTCCTAACGATCTCTGCCCATATCGCTGAACAACCTTTTTGCTGGACTTCATTTTCAGCTCCGCATTTCACACATTTCCTCCAGGAGCCTCACGAATCGAGGGCCGTCCTCTCGCTGGAGGGAATGCTTCAAAATCATGAAACGGGAGAAAACAGAAGCCGACTGATCATCACTGAATTCCAGGTGTTGTGCTTTTCCAGGACATTCCTCTTCACTGCATCATTCTTGTTGTACAAAGCAGTTTAATGTCGGAGAGAGCTCGCCGTCTATTATGTGCACTAACGCAACACTGATATTTGAAACACTATTTCAACGTGTGTTTGTTTGAACGTTGGTAGCTGATGATTATTGATGCTGTTGCACATGCAGGCGCTGAGTCGGGTTACAGGTGTGTGGTTTACAGGTGGCTGTAGCGCCACAGTCCTGTTACACTGGGAGGGAGGGACTCCAGCGCCGTTTGCTGTACAGTAACTGTCTGAGCTGCATTAATAAATTTCAGTTTTTCTCTTTGTTTGTGCACTTTGAGATTTTATAGAAAAGGAGAATACTGACACTGACACCACGTGCACACACACACGTGCAGGTATTAGCAGGTAAATGCAGACATGCAACGGTTTCCCGTTATAAGTAATGCAGACTCACAAAACTTCGTATTGTTCCAAAGTCATTTGAGCAACTACTTGTGTATTCCCAAACATGGTGCATGCTGGCTCACTTATTCAAACTAAACTTTTGCCATTTGCACCAATCAGTGTTCAGACAATGATGCAGATTTCACCTCTGAGGATTTGAAATCATCAAATCAGACTTTCAGCTGAAATTTAAGGAATTTTACAAAACTGACTGTTTATAAATTGCAGCCATTTTTATCTGTTTGGTGCCTTTTCACTGCTTTTCCTTCTATGAGACCCAAAAAGACCCGATACAAAAAGTGGGTTTGATGACAGAATTATTTCCATGATTTGGAAAAACATCACAAACAATGGATGAAGAGAGTTTACAGGTTACACTCAGCAGAAAGTCTGAAGCCCAGATGCAACATTTGATGGCCGTGGGTTTTAGACTTTAGGCAGGTACTGGTTTATTCAAATGATCCTCAAATTTAAAATGATGTAACTTTGTCACTGTAAGTCATAAGTGGTCAGTTACCAGTCAGAGAACATATAAAACCTAACCGAATATAAACTTAATGAAATTTCTATTTAAAAAAACGAGTGTATCATCACCACAGAGTTCACGGGGAAACTGCGACTCGGATTCACGACAACGAAGCCAAAATGCTCAACAACCTTTATTGTTGCAGATCCGAAAGGCATAGCTGGAGGCATACAGCAGCAACATGACTATGATGAACCAGAACAGTGCAAAACTGAAGCATCTAAACCACACGAACAACCATGAAGTAGAAATAGGAAACAAAACAAAGCATAAACAAAATGACGACGCTGCATTTACATGTGACACCATCATCCTGGCTTTTTGAACATCGAGTCGAAAGAGTTCCCACGATCACCACGTAGTGACGTGTTACTGTGGACCTGTCCGGCCGGAGGCTCCATCCGACATCATCCATGTCAGGAGGTTCGGGTCTGTCCCAGCTGTCATGGGGCGAGAGGCGGGGCACGCCCTGGTGGAACCACAGATTAATTTCATGTTGCCAGTAGGTATGATTTTGCACTCATATACATGACAGCATCGGAGTGCAGTTATAACAGGCTGCTGAATAAAAACTCAGTTGATGCGTCAACGTGTGAGGAGGAGTACATCAAATATACCGATAGGTGGCGCTGTAAGTGTCCAGGCATGTGTTCGGGACTCTCATCAACCAGGAAGTCTAGGCCAGATTGGACTTTGTGTATCTGACTTACAGTAATTTTGTGCTTCATTGTAAAACGTCGAAGTTTGATTTCAAACAACAAGCCGCAAACTCTGCGACAAACATCAGGATCAGAAACCAGAGTTTGCTGCAGGTCTGTGAACAGGTTTGTGTCATTTTTGCAAACACATTTTTTAAATATAATTATATTACACAGTAAAGTGTGAAACGTCACACACAGTATCACACTCGAGCTCTTTCGCCTTAGACTGTAACTCACTCTTCCACAGATGCTCGTAGAGGCAGGCTGCAGATGCTTGATTTTACACACCTGAGTTCAAAGGTTAAGAGCTTTGGTCCAACACGTGTGTCCGTATAGCGCAGCAGGCAAAAACTGAAGGGAGTGCTGGAAAGTTATGTTAACACCAGAACAATATGTACGAGTCAACAGCAAAGTACCACTGTTCTGATAAGATGTTTTAAAAGCGTAATAATGTTATTTTCTGAAAAATCACAAAATAATATTTTAAATTGTCAGATCTGTCAGCGTCTGAGCCCACTAAATAAGCCAAGCAACTTTGTCTTCTTCCAAACAGGAATGCATATTGTAACTACACCCTTGACGTCATTGTTTTCTTCTGATTTTCTGTGTAATTCTGTCACACAAGTACAATGTAAATGTAAAATATTTAGTGGAATCTGGTGAGATGAAATTTACTTGATTGGTTTAGAATCAGCTGATAGAATTGCTCTAAGTATTTAAGCAAATACTTGTTTGATGTTTTTATGTTAGTTTAATCAAAAAGATTTCTTGATGAAAAACAAAAATAGCAAGAAGCTTTCCCGCCTTCCCAGTAACCCTGGTAACACAGTAAACTAGATCTGTGCAGGGTCACCTGGAGGTGAATGAACCATCTTAAATTCTTCTTACTCTTTGATTTGCATGTTGCTCATTCGGTCACTGAGCTCGTCAAAGTAATTATCAACAAAGCGAAGCATCTGAATGACGGCGCTGAGCAACAAGATGTCACAGTCAGTGTCCACCTCCAACTCCTCGCTGTAATTCTTCACTGGAATGATGCAGGACAACGGCACGCCGAGCCGGGAGCTGACCTCCTGCATCTGTATCACAGTGTACAAGAAAGGCTCATCCTACCACGTTCAACGTTATTTGTATTTACTAAAAAAGGTTTGTTTTCCCTGTAGAACCATCCTCACCATCTCCTTAATGTAGCCACTCTTGTAAATGTTTCTCACGTCCTCTTTCACCAGTGGGCAGGCTTCATCTACTTTAGTGAGGAGCACCAGCTGAGGAATACCTGGAAACAAATGAGCAGGAAGCTCATTTCCAAAATGCCACAGATTCTGACACAGTGAGTTATCACAGTATCATTATAATAGAATCTCATCTCTCTGGTGAGGAGGGAGGATGCACCAGTGTGTGCACTGTGGGTATACGTGTTCATGGTTGTGTGCTTAATGACAGTTCAGGGGACCTGGAGTCTTTGGATGGGAACGCTCTCATCTGAGGGGAAATGTGACCTTCCAGATCTGAACCCAAAGAGTGCTCTGCTATAGGACTTCTATACTAATCATAGTTTGTCCATAACAAATACAGGTAAGAGTTATTCCTACGGTACTTGGCACCAACGTTCCCTCTAATGTTTCACATGTCTGAGCGACAGCAGACGTGTGCACTGTGGTCACGCCAGCATCCAAGTTACATGTTTATTAAAATAATCAAATTACAGCATTTATGTTAGACTACTTTTAATTAACTGCTTTAGCCCACTTACAACGAAAATTAAAAATAAAGTCTTGTTCATGACCTGCAGTATGTTAACACTATTATTAACTTACCCCTAACCCTTTATAACAGAGTGTAACTTAAAAATATGCAGGACTAATTTCTACTGGGTGGGAAGATCTGACAAGCCGGAACATGCCGTTTAATTTATCAAGGTTTGCTCGACAGTCTCAGCGCAGAGCTGCGTTCATAAACAATCGCACATCCGAATATTGGTCTTTTTAAAATCTTGATGTAACTGTGAGACCATTTATTCTCCTCGTTGAAACAAATGGAAGGTTTCAACAGAAACAACAAAAACTGAATATTAATCAGGAAAACCTTACATTTATGGAGTTCACATACTAGTATAGACTGCATTTATCTGGTAGTCTGCAAATGTCGAATTTTGGGAAGGCACCATGAGGTTACTTCTGTTTGCTCAGTCCTGTCCCACAGTCCAAAGACATCGTCCCAGTCTTCATGAAACTCAAAAATATTAAAAATATTAAGTTGCAGCCTGACAGAAATAATGAAGAACATGCTTATAATCAAACCGAGGTCTGAAGAAGTAGCAAGCCCGCAAACAACAGAATAAATGAGCAAATGAAGCTCTGCCAGTCACAGAAATGACCTCCACATCTGGTCTGGGACCTGTGAGCAAGAATATTATTTTTCTGTATTTCATTTCCTTTAAAATTGTTTCGATTTATTAAATTAGATTGAAATGGATGAATGAAAATCTGTTTACTGGAAACAGTTTTGGTGATTTTCAGTGTAAAATATCTGGTTTAAGTTTACAACGAAAGCTATAAAAAGGGTTGAATTTCAATTCAGTCTTGTTTATGTATTTATTATTTAATCTATATTATAAGGTAAAGACTCATCCTATACCTAACTATCCAAGTCAAAGTTTATTTGAAGAAAGCACCATCTCTGCGTGAAAGGGGCGTGTTTATGGCAGAAAGGAGGCGGGACTCCCAGCGGCTGACTGGTGGCTGACAGTCGGCCTGCTGACCTCTGGCTGAAAGTAGCAGCTTTGAGTGGCTGTATCTGTATGTTGTGCTGAGATTCAGAAGGAAAACAGCTGTAATGATTGCACTCGGTTCTACTGACCCATTAAGTTGACCTTTCTGCGGATGGCGTCCAGTTTCTCCTCCAGCCCCGTGGGCATGATAGAGATCTTACAGCTATCAATGACATAAACCACGCAGTGGATCTTGTCTTTGAGTCTAGGAGACTTGTGATAGCCGTGGGCCTCAGGATGCAGAGGAGCTGAAGGGTTGAACTAGAGGAGCAACGGAGACACGGTTTGAGCCGACGGCTGACAAATCTCTGTTTCATACATTCAGTGTCCTGCTGATGTAATGCAGCACCTGATAACAGTCTGGCAGGTGACCTTTGAGGATGCTGTTCAGGTCATCGATGTCAAGCCCCGCCCCTTTGCTCTCCTCCAGCCCCATGGTATCGCACAAGATTATCGGCAGAGGTTTCCCTTCACGCCCGGCTTTCACAGAGTACGAGCGAAACTGTTGGACACAAAGCGATTAGAGCACAGCGCACAGAAAGGGGACCGCTGAAATCACTCACAATAATCAATCACCTGTGTGGTGAGGCTGGTGGAGGAGGAGCCAGATATGGCCTGGCTGGTGACGTGGCCTCTGAATACAGAGTTGACAGAGTTAAAGAAGCTGGACTTTCCAGCTCCGACTGGTCCGATGAGCAAAACCCGCGCCTGGGTCACTGAGCTGACTGTGGGTTTGTAGCTCTTAATGCTGTCAATCAGCCCCGCCCTCTTCCTGCACAAACGAGGAGATGGAGAACTTTTGCAGCAACTGTAATATGTGTCAGTAAATATAATATCATATCATTGCAGCCGACTGATTAACATATTCCTCCAGCTGTTTGTAGATCAGTGTGCTGTACAAGAGTCAGGACTGTGGCTCCGTCACACTTACTCAGACTCCCACACTATCGTCCTCCATGGCCTCTCAAGTTCAGAGCTTTCTGTTCAAGAGCAAAAACAAAGCAGGACATCAGTGCTGCAGTCGCTCACCCGGCTCACGATCCATCACAGAACCGTAAATGTGACCTTGACCTTGAAGGCAGTTTGGGGCAAATGTTTGCAGGTTTCCTTAAAATTCAACTGATACTCTTGAATATTGTGGACAGATCAAAGATGGACCCCACTGCCGTGCAATAAACTCGTCAGTATTTTGGTTGGATGAGCTTGTGATGAAATCTATTTTCTTAACTATGTGTTCAATTTAGGGTGGAGGGGGTGGAGGGAATGATTAAAGGCCTGTTAGAGGGCAAGAATATAACGTGTGATACCTGTTATTGTTATTATTATTATAACTAAAAGTTATTTTATGTCTGGGATAAATTATGCAGACAGCCAGTAACCATACTAGTGGACCTACCCTCCACTTGGTAGACTTCACACTCCGTCAGGTTGAGATCATTGCCATGCATCTCTGCAGCAGTGAAGTTGTAATAATTTCCTGGACTGCTGTACGCTACTGGCTTGCTTCCATGGACAAGAACCAGTGCTTCTCCAAAATAAGGTCCAGAGTTTCCGATCATTTTCACTGCATTTCCAGGACCAGTGACGGGATACTTGAGGAGCTGCTCTCCAGTGAAGGTAAAAAGAAAAGCTTTATCATCATTCACAAACCCTCCAGACTGATTAAAGGGTTGTTTGGTGTAGCCTCCAAACACAAAACCAGAGTTGTTGTAGCCCACGGACACAGTGGGAGAGCGGTGGTCACATTGTTGGTGAAATGCTGCACCGGTGAAGCCGTGGACGCTGGCCTTGTACAGCAGCTGCAGCCTGACTCTCCCCAGCTCAGAGCAGATGGCTCTCTGCCTGCTTTTGGTTAGCTTGGCATTCATGATGGGAAAAGGATCTTCTGAGCTGAGTCAGTTATACTGTTTAATCTGTGGAGTCAATGAAAACACAGCCACAGTTACTGCATCGAGTCATATTTCCAGAATTAAAAACAAAGTGCAGTTTCTTTGCCTCATTCCTTGTAAATAGCACCACAACAGTTCATTTGCCTCTGAGCTATTTAATAATGTCCTTCTTAGGTCTCAGTGTAGTGCACTGAATCAAATTCACACACAAAGACTTTTAATTATCTGCATTTTGTCTTTATCATCAAAATTATTTGATAATTTCACACTTCAAGAATCCATTTTCGGTTAGTATGTTTCATTATTTTATTTTAAATACATATTTTTGAGACTGTTATTGGTTTTTAATCTAGTTTAAACCAAACCACTCCACTGGCTTTAGCTACATTCTGGACCGTGCTTCCGGAATGCAGTAGCTAGCGAGCTAATTGGAGACCGTAACAGCCAATCAGAATTATTGCATCCAAGTCTGTGATTGGTGGGTTTTGTGGCACACTTCTAACGGTGTACAGAGAGCTGAGACACTGAGCAGGTCTGCAGATGTCTGTGAGCACAGAGATCTGAGCGAGAGCGGCTGTTATTGTGCGTGGATGTGGATAATAGCAAACAGTGAAATGCATTTCTCTCACGCAGGAATGAATTTTGTTCGCTCAAATTAAACTAAAATAAATTTCTTCTCAAAATGCAACATTTGCGTTTGCATTTTTTTTTAACGTGCGCTCGGAATAGAGGCACAAAAATACCGCCATGGTTACAGCACGTGTCCAACTCTTATCGGTTCTTTCGATCAAAGTCAGACTAAAGTTTATTTTGCCAAAACTGATCGCTTGCATTTAAACTGCTTTAAATAACTTGTTGGTGTATAATATGTGAAACGCGGCTCAAGTCATCTTGAGCCACAAACAACATTCCTGTAACAAAGTTTTTGGCCGTGACTTTAATGTTTCCTTTATTTATCCAGTAAAAGAAAAAACCTCGTTGACATTAAAATGTCTTTTTAAAAAAGGTCACCTGGGCACGAGGACAGCAGAAACACAAATATTACAATGGTCCGGTAAACATACTTTAAGCGGACACAAGGACCGGATTGGTTATCATGTAGGTACAATAACACAGTTATAAAGACGCTTGAAAAACAGGTAATTTTTAACATTTTATGTATAACCTTTTGTAAACTCTGCTCATTGACCAAAGATGTTACACATGAAAACACACGGAGACCTTGGAAATCAGTTTTTGGCGCAACACCGGAGCTGAAAAAACAAAAACATCGCTCACTCGTTTCTGTGACGTTGATTCCGAAAGTTCAAATATGTGAAAATACATTTTGCTTTAGTTGGTTAAACAAGCAAATCTGAATGGTCACTTTGGAGAAGATCGATTTAGAGAAAGACTGAAAAAAGAAACCAGGCGAACACCACAGTGGCGTCACAGGCACAAACCTGTGGGCTGATTTCCTGACAAGAGTGAACCACACCCAGCTCACTAACTGCACCAAATGTGATTTAACAGATTTATGTGGCATTTTATTATCGAAACGACGTCTCCGTTAGATTAACTTACACTAACTAAACTTTCTTACAGTTCTCTGGTTGTTGTTGTTTGTTTTGCAATAAAGAAAAAACAAACAAACATTCAAAATCTTACATGCAAATTTAAAAAACGGCCGCAGCTCTTTGTTACTTCCAGTCTTACCTCCTGGTCCAGACAGATGAGGGAGCGTGAGCAGTTGTCGCAGATGTCGCTGTGGACAGATGTGAAGTACAGATGTGAGAAGCAGTCTGCCGCCGGAAATGAAACTGGAAGCATTTCGCAGACTGTGGGCTTACCGGTGGTTTCTAGTGTTCAAAAGTAGAACGGGAGGCAGAGCCTTCAGCTTTCAGGGGCCTCGTCTCGAAACCAGCTCGTAGTTTGGATTCGATAAACACAAAGACTTCTCTAGTTTAAAGATCAGGGTTAGAGCATACACTTAGGCTGGGTCAGCTGACCCTGAACCCCCCCTTAGTTATGCTTCAGTGGGTCGAGGCTGCGGGGGGATTCCCACAAGTGTTTCTTCTTCACTCACTTTGTGTTTGTTAGCTTAGGTTTGACTTTGTTAGTCAAAGTCAAATTTCTTTATACAGCACATTTAAAACAACGTTTGACCAAAGGTCTGTACATTTAAGATAATCAAAAGAGATAAAAACTAAGGAAGACATGACGAAATTTAAGAAAAGAAGCATAAAATGAGAAGATTTGAGTAAGAAATAAGGCAAATACAAGTAGAACAAACTCATTCTGATTGAAAAGCTGAAAAATAAAAGTGGGTTTTCAGACGGGCTGTGAAAGTGTCCAATGTTGGGGAGGTCCTGAGGTCACAGCAAAGGCTCCGTGCTTTAATCTGGACCTCGGGACAGCTAGGAGCATTTGATCTGCAGACCTCAGTGACCTCAGGAGTGTACCAATTCAAAAGATCAGAAAGGTATGAGGTTGCAGCGCCTTAAAAATGAATAACAAAATCTTAAAATCTATTTGAAAACTAACTGGCAGCCAGTGTGAGGATGCTGGTGCAGGAGATGTGGCCAGTCAGTAACTGTGCTGCAGCGTTTTGGACCAGCTGCAGTCGGCTAACTGATGACAGAGTAAAGACAAAAGTCGAGGAGAGATGAAATGAAGGCATCTCTCAAAGTCTCTGAAACAGAGGAACGGCTTCACTTTTGCAGCTGATTCATCATTGAACAACTTGATGTCCGGGACAAGTTTGTTCAGAAGAGCGCCGGGATTAGTCATCGGTGATGCAGCCATGCAGCTTTGGAATTTCACCACCCAATCAGCAGCTTCCCTTAGTTGTCAGCTATCTGTACTTCTCAGGGGCAGGACTTGACTTGGGTTCCTGCTCTGTGGCACCACACGTCTGGAGGTAATGAGCTCCTCTCAACTGCTGTCACTACTGAAGGTGGTGGTTTGTCTTCAGTCAGTGTTAGCGACAGTTTGGAAACACTGACAAAAGGACAGGAGGCGGAGCTGAAGATGTTAAGAGTGAGCAGGATGGGCAGGATTAGAAATGAGTACGTCAAAGGAACCGCTCAGGCTGGGCAGGCAGGAGACAAAGTTAGGCTGAGGTGGTTCTGACATGTGACAGGAGGTAAGGTGGATAAGAAGATATGTATTGTGCAGGTACTGGGAGGAAAAGGGGGAAGATCTCAGAGGTTTATGAAAGGAAGAGTGAAGTGGACGTGCAGGGGGTTGGAGGGAAGAGAATCACTTTTATGGACACAGATACGAGTCGTGGTCACTGGCCGGCGATGTGCGACACACTGTTGTTCTACGACGTTTACAAGAAAGGCAATCGGAGAATACCCCATCAGCTCACCGCGGTAAAGTGAGCCGTCACTTGTGAGCCGCGGTCAAGCCAGCCGCCTCCTATCCGCCGCATAAATTTGAGGATGCAGACTTCTTCCTGTACCACTGCTTGAAGAAGGTGTCTTCCAGAAACTGGCAGTAGGACTGGGAGTTGAGCTTGACTCCATCCTCAACCCGAAAAGGCCCCACAAGCTCATCTTTGATGATACCAGCCCAAACCAGTACTCCACCTCCACCTTGCTGGCGTCTGAGTGGGACTGGAGCTCTCTGCCCTTTACCAATCCAGCCACGGGCCCATCCATCTGGCCCATCAAGACTCACTCTCATTTCATCAGTCCATAAAACCTTAGAAAAACCAGTCTTGAGATATTTCTTGGCCCAGTCTTGACGTTTCAGCTTGTGTGTCTTGTTCAGTGGTGGTCGTCTTTCAGCCTTTCTTGCACTGAACATAAGTTCCCTGCAATTTCTGAAGAATATTACAGTAAATCTGGCTGAAACTTGGCCCAGACGTACAGCAGGTGTCCCAGAGGAGGGATGTGTTGAAAGTTGGACCTCAACTATTCAGGATGACTTTTAATGAATTTTTGAAATAAACATAATTGTAGTGCATTGACTGTATTGCACTGAATATGAGTTTACTGTGATTTCTGAGTAATATTACAGTAAATCTGGGTAAAAACTGGCCCAGAGGTAAAGTAGGTGTCCGAGAAGAGGATTGTGTTGAAAGCTTGGCATCAACTTTTAAGAATGATTTTTAATGAATTTTTGAATATGCAACCAGACTGTCACGATTGGGCTGTTCCATTGTAATTTGTGTGCGCGCGTGCGTGTGACTGTTCACGCGCGTGCGTGTGTGCGCGAGTCTAGGCTTTCAATCAGGATATAAAGCGAAAAGGCGCTACCGTAAAGACTGGTGTAAAAGCGCAAGGAAATTCATGCGGCGGATAGGAGGCGGCTGGCTTGACCGCGGCTCACAAATGACGGCTCACTTTACCGCAGTATCAGCTCGAACCCCTCCCTCCATCTTTTCTAACATTCACACAAGGATAAGGCATGCAGACTGGAATCAACCCCCCAACCTTCCAATTATTAACGCCCTGTTCTTCCTCCTGAACTGCAGTCACTCCTAACTCTGTTGACACATTTCTTCTTTCGACTGCTGCCACTGAGGCTCACCACAGCACATCATGAGCGCTCACTGTCCCAGTATGAGTCCCAGTATCCTCCGCTGTCCCACCAACATGTCACTGGATCCATGAACTTTCCTCCAGAGCTGAACTGACTGAAACGAACCATTTTTATCATTTTGTGCTTTGTCTTTTGTTCTTTTTTTTTAATACATTCACCAACAGATTTGTTATGTACACCTGTTAATGCAAGTATCTACAGCAGGCGTGTCCAACTCCTGCAGGTTTTACATCTCACCCTGAGTCAACACACACACACATTCCCAGGCCTCTGGAGAACATCAGGACATGTTGAGGTCGTCATGTAGCCATTTGAATCAGCTGACACATCTAAACCCTGCAGGACGCCGGCCCTCGAGCCCTGGAGTTGATCTAATGAGTCTATCGACAGCAAAACCATCGAAATCTCAAATGATCTCAAACTTGATTCATTAACATGACCGTGAGGTCACTGTACTCAGACGGCCCTCACGGTCACCAGCAGTCACTGGGATGTGGTGGAACAACAAGAGGAGGTTAAACCTGGAACCGGCTGCACTCTGCATGAACACCGTCACCTGGCTGCACTCCTCTCTGCCTGAAGAATTGCAACATAATATTAATCCTACATTCATGAAAAGATGTAGCATTACTCACAATGTTGAGTAATGAGACGGAGATTTTTCAGCACCGTTCCTTTTGTAAAACACACCACAGCACACAGACGGTGTATTTTTTTTTTTTTGCTCAAAGCATCAAAACGTAGAAGTAATTATTCTGCAGAAAAATGTTCATCAGGGTTTTATGGATCCATGTTAGTGAAGTTTAAGGTCGAGCTCAGGCACAGGGATGCATCGTAGAGTCGTGGCCTTCTGAGAACCGCGCTCACTGCCCATATTTATTGTGTATTAAACATATTAACTGAAACTGAAGGCGGAGCTTTAGGAAAAGGGTTGAATCATTTTGAACAAGTGATTTCTCAGAGATGCAGCTGCTGGCTGAGGCTCCAAGCTTTCATTCATGTGCATTTATGGACTTCACAGGTCAAGTAACGCATTGATGAAAGCTTATTATGATTTGGTATTGATCTCTGTGGGATGTACAGTCATGGTCACGCTGCCACCTTGTGGCTGTCACAGCACATCACACACAGAAAACCAGGTAAAGTTTTCATGCATTTCTTTAATATATCAGTTTTTTATATTCACAACAAATACATTAAGCTCTTTCTCTGTATGATACACCCTTAAATATTTTTACACTCAAACATTTGTTTGCCTATGAAAATGTCTTTTAATCTTTGTGACTTTATTTTGAACGTGTTGTACTTTGTTTGTACAGTTGTTGTCTCCATGCCTCCTAGCAAACTGACAGTATTTCCTTTGTACAATATTTACAGGTGAAAAAAACAAAACAAATCTAAAGTTTTACATGATAGTACTCGGTTGAAAGGAATTGTTGGGTCTAAGGTGCAGGCAAGGAGTGAGGGAGGGAATGTTTAAGAAGAAAGGAACGTGAAAGTAGAAGAAGGCGGCTAACGGAAAGCGCTGCACGAGAGTCCAGTGTTTGCTCCTGCAGGATCTATGAAGCTAGAGCAGATGTACATGGTGTTCCTATAGAAAATAACCATCTCCAAGGAAAACCAACGGAGCACTCTTGAAAAACACGTCAATTTCCTTCCTTGAATTCAATCACGTGAGCCGATCCCAGCTCTGCAGGCGGCAGGAAGGAGGATGTTAACACTGCCTGTGGAAGGCGGCCGTGTGCTCGGTGCGGTGAGGCTAAGCTCAGGTGCTGCATCACTCGGTCTTCATCAGCATCTCCATGGCCCGATGACTCTGGTGCTTTAAGTCGTGAACTCAGAACTTCTCCATCCAAACTTTGGACAGTTTCACTTCTGTGTGACCGAATAAGACCGTGAGACGCAGCTCCTGTGCATCATGTGAACAAGACGAGTGGAAAGTTGTAAAAAGTCTGATGTTGGGATTTTAGTGCCTCTGTAAGAAATGTAGGACTGTGGAAGCGAAGTAACTCTTTAGCTTATGTAACGCGACGCACGAGACTCAAAGGCAACCACTGCTGACTCTACCCGTCCACGTCTCTGTGCAGCGTGACGAAGCTTCAAACTGATAACTGGAGCATTCAGACGGACCTCGTCCTGCTCTGTGGGTACCCGAGTTTGGTTTCACTGACAGCAGAGCTTCTTCATCATCTTCACGACTCTCAGCAGTGATCGCTCTGGTGACACAATCACCTGCACAGGACACTTTAAAGAGTCCTCTGGAGAAAATGGCAGCTGTGGGCAAAGCTTGAGGGAGCCGTGGGTAGCAGCAAAACCTCCCCAGTGACAGGACGATATGTCATTTATTAACAAGGCCAACATGACCTCTACACATCATCTGTAAAAGCGGCAGACGGAGGCGGGTAAATAAACGCTCGTTACTGATCGACGATTGGTTCTGGGCTTCTGGAAGTTTTGAGCGCCGGACACTGAATTCGAACCTTTCAATCGAACAGTTTCTCGCTCCGAGAGGTGACGCTGGACGACACTGTGCATGCGCAGAGCTGTCAGAAGAATTCTGTAACGTAACTACAACAGACAAATGCTGTGTGCAGCGATGCATCCTGTCCCTGCAGCTTTGGCTGACGTGTTAGCAAACAGCCACGTCCAGGGTAACCAGGCAAGGAAAGCTTTCACTTTTATCAGATCAAGTCTTTCAATTCGTCTGCCGTCACCGGCTCTTTGCTCACGTTTAGTCCGTGCCCGACTTTACTAAAGGCAGCGTCCAGCTAGTTGAAGTGGTGACAACAACGCGGTCTCTCTGTAATAAACTGGGAAACAAACAAAGCCCACGCGTGCAGCCGTACAAAAACAGACAGCAGATCGCGACGCCGACAGCCGGTGGACATTTGTACTCTCGCAGACTCCACGACCCCCTCGGCTCTGTGTGCCACTCACGTGGAGTAAGACCCCAGCTGTGGGCTGAAGCCTGGCAGGTTCTCTTTTTCTGCAGATACTTTGAATCTAACGTTTGTTGGCTACGTGACAGCACCGGTTTAGTTCGATTTTCTAAAGCTGATCATCTCACGATGCGGCGACTGAAACAACGTTAAAAATACAAACTCACTGGAAAGGAAGCCATGGAGGTGACGGGGAACGTCCGTTTCCATCATTCGTAATAGAAAGACACACGTGGATGCGAAGACCCGCCCTGTCGGCGCTCGGTCTGACACGTCAACTAGCTGCGCGCTCTCAGTCCACGAGGTGAGGCCAGGAGCCTCGTCAGGGCGGTACGCCGGCAGGTCTGCAGGCTCGTCACGCGGTCCTCGAATGAATATTTACAGTCCTGCACCTGCGGAGGGCAGCTTCACTGGAAGTCTGAGCCATCTGCTCGCTTCTTCAATTAGAAACAACGAAACAAAAACAAAAAGGCGAGTCGCTCGTTCGCTTCAATCCATCAAAGTGCAAATATGAGTCACATGACGAAAACAAGGGTTGTAAAAAAAATAAAAGCCTGAAAATAAACCCATAAAAAAGTCACATAAATAAGTCAGTATGTGCAGGCCTGCCTGTACAGGAAGAAGGCAAACAAAGAGCAGAACAGATCTAAACCTGGAATAACATGAAAGTACAGAGAATGTAAACGGCGGGATTAAAGGACATTTCCAGAACTGTCAAAGCCGCAGAACTCTTGATCAACAGCCGGTAACACGTCTGTGTGAGTGCAACGTTAAAGCTTTGTGGTCCCACAGGAAGAGAAGAAAGCAACGCCACAACGTGCACGCAGTGTGAAAATCAATCTGTGAAAACGATGAGAAGCAAAGAAACCCCACGAGCAGGTCCAGCTGAAACCTTCGGCTGTCTGTGACCTGTTACCTTGGAGACAATCATTTCTGCTGCTTGTCACATGACCACAATATCCTTTGAAAGGGGGAAAGCTTTTAAAGTGGAGAACATGGTTGAGGTGCAGATCTTTTGCTGTCCTGCCATTAAACCCAGAGAGAGCCTCGCTGGCAGAGAGCAGCTGCCATGTTGGAGACAAACTCCATAAACACCGAAAACAAAAGACGGCTAAAAGATCCAAGACAGAAAGTATTCCCAGCAGCTGCTAGCTAAAATGGAAAACACAAATGGAAAAAATACAAACAGATTTCTCTTTCAAGTCATCGTCCTTCAGAATCCTTCTCCTCCAGCCCATCCCAGGGAAGCGCCAACGCCTTCCAGCAGCTGACGGCGTGAAGCCTCCTCTCGGTCCGCAGGCCCGTTCTCTGCTCAGCAGCACGGCTAACGCCCAGCTCCTCCTCACCGGCACAACAGCGACCGGACAACTCGCATCCAAAGCTCTCCTTTAAATGGTTTTCCTCTGTGGGTCAACTTGGATCCATCAGGCAAGGCGATTACTTCCACGTCTTCCTCAAAGCGGTTTGGTACGGATATCTTTGTCTTCGCTTTGTTGTTGTTCCGTCGTTCCTGATTAGTTTGTGTGTGTTGCTGCCGTCTGCCCAATGGACGGCTTCTTGTTAGTGAGGCTGCCTTCTTCGAGGTGACGGAGGAAGAAAACGGCGCATTGGTTTTTTCCTTTTTCTTTTTTTTCCCAGTAATGAATGAATCCACCGCAGGGACACAAGACTGTTGAGGAGTGACGAGGGATGGACTGCTGGTATCTGCCGCCATTTATTTAAATGCTGAAAACTCCCCTGAAAAGATAAAGAAACAAAGACAGACGGTGTGTGGACAGCAGTGTCAAGTTTCAGGTGGAGATATGAAGTTAGCGCGTTTCCAGTGAAGTTTACTTTATGAAACAACACTCACCCAGTGACAAAGGCCCGATACAAGTGTGGGAAATATAAGGACTACTGCACCGATGCAAGTACCAAAGTACCACGAGCGAGGGCCTCAAGAAAACCTTCTATTCTTTTTATTTGTTTTTATGCACAAATCTGAGAATATCCAACAACTTTAACACTCAAAGGGAAAATAACTCCTGACACTCTGTCACACAAATAACAACACCTGAGACTCTGCGTGGACTCCAGCTTGTACAGAGCGCTCACAGCAGCCTCAGCAGGATGGAAACAACAGCTCTGTGGCTAACAGGGGGCTGCGAATATATAGGAACTACAGCGTTCAAGGAATATACTCTACCTAATTGACTTCATTAAGCACAGTGTAATGTGCAGCGTTGGATCTCGTGCTGCTGGACAGAAGTGCAGCTGTGCAAACAAACAGGTTTCACCTGTAAAAATTATTTTATTAAAGATGAAAGAATTTAGACAGTTTTAACTCTCAGTGATGCTGCAGTGTTCGTTTGTTTTTGGGACCTGAAGCTGATGGAGTTTAGGACCCAGATTCCTCTGCGAGGCTCCTGACTACAGTAGCCGTAATGCTCCAACAGTCCATCAGGCGCTGCGGCTTCGTAGCTACCAAAGTCGCACTAAAACATTTTGACAGATGTCTGAGCGCCGTGTACATAAAATCGGTTCGAGGTCAGTAAACACAACCAGAATTCATACATAAGGCACACTGTCGATTTTTGAGAAATTAAAGGATTTTAAGTGCACCTCATAGTGCCGAGAATACGGTAAGTGGAAATTCAGTTCCAAGAAATATTCTGCAAGCCAACACACTGAAAGATGAGATGTGATGCACTAAGCATGGTTTGGGGATGAGGCACATTCATTAGAGGTAGTTATGGTGTATGTGATGAAAAAGCTACACTACCACTTCCTGTTACTGTCACTGCGAGCTCCAGATTTCGCCGCTCCAGATGCTGAGACGCGATGTTCCCAAGAAAAATAACTCACCGTAACCGCCGGCCTGGATGGGGGTTTTAGGTGAGGCGCAGGCATACAAACTGAAGTCCTCTGTCTGAAAACCAGCTCGGTTTAACGAAGGCTCCGAGGCGCTGCGGTGGATTTTGGGTAACGAGCGAGCCAGCAGCTCAATGGATGCCAAAATCTGAAGAAATACACAACACAGCCACAGGGGTCGTTAGTCAGGATCGTATGATCACCATTCCCTCACAACACAAGAAACGGGCGACTACATCAGCTCAGCTGCTTTCTGTGGTTGCAGCTGCTTGCTGAGGCCATCGGTGGCAACGCAACAACTGTCAGAAAGAAGGAAGTAAAGAAATCCAAAATGCTGCAAAGTAGGGAGTAACGGCGAACGCTCACTCTGCACCAAACTCAGAGCTTCCACCCTGAAACGATCCATGTCTGTTTGCTGCCACTAGCTGACGGGCTTTGGAGGTGAACACCAGGACAGCAAGAGTCGGATTTGATGGAGAGAAACGTCACTGAACTGTTGTTAAATAACAAATATTAAGACCATTAGAGTTTAAAGAGAAGCTGGGATGTGATGAGTGTGAGAGTCTCTTGTCTCCGTGTCTCAGCGATTTTTGAAAGTGTTTGGGAAAAAAAAGAAAAAGAGTTTACTGTAAATATTATTTCCTCTCAATGTATAAAAGCGTCAGTGTGGGCTCTCACCTGAGGGAAGAGAGGCCGCTCCTCTCTCTTCTTCTTCAGGCAGTCAGCCATCAGCCTCTTCATGGCCTTTGGACAGTTGCTGCGGACCTTGCTGAGGTCAGGGGACAGGTAACCTCGTCCCACCATGAATATGATCTATGGAACAGAAAGAACGAGTCGTGAAACAAACTTCTGAGCTCTGCTCCCTCATCATTAATGACAAATCAAAGATCTGCAGCTCATTCCAAGTGTTTTTGGCATTTGTTCAAATTTGGTCTCAAACTTTAAATATGAGGTCCAAAGACAAAATGTGTCAGCCAGCTCTGCAACATCGACACAGCTAAAGAGGATCACAGAACTCTTTGGATATGGAAAACCTCCTGGTGCCTGAAAACACGGTGCAGCAGAAAGATGGGAAACAAATATGGAGAAAGAAAGCAACAGCTCACGATTCAACGCGTAACACATCACCTGCTGAGACCATGTGACGGTACGTGCATGCACATGAAGTGTGAAGTGCACAGGACTTTACTCTGCTCAGCTTCAGCCGAAGGCGAGACCGGTCAAACAGCGCCTCACAGTGGATGGATAGTGAACCAAAGACAAACCCAGCTAAAGGCCTGGCAGAGCATCTCACCCATTCAACAGCAAACACCATTTATATTCCAAACATTATTAAAATGATGTTCAGTCCAATTTATTTTCAGCCTCTGAAAATGGAAACTTTGTATAAAACATGAAACATCTGGGGTTCAATCCCTCCTTCTGCACGCCCAATATCCTCGGGCAAGATAACAACCCCAAGTAGAAAGCACACGCATAGAGAGAAAAGTACTTTTATCAATGGATGGATGAGGCATGGTGTGTAACGTGCTCAGAGTAGAAAACCCGACAGAAGAGCCATTTAACATGTTAATGGCACACTGGGGGAAATGCACCTGTTAAAGCAGCAAAAACATGGTTCAGTCTGACTGCTGAACCAGAGGTAAAACGGGGCGGAGTCTGGAGTATCTGTTAGAGCGAGTGCAGCAGTGGGGCCGCGATCACGTCCACTCACCTGGTCTCTGTTGTTGATGTTGGAGTAGGGCAGCGCTCCTGACATCAGCTCGTAGAGTACGATGCCAAAGGCGTACACGTCCGACTGGAAGCTGTAGGGGTTCTTGTCCTGCAGCCGGATTACCTCTGGAGCCTGACGAAGCACAAGTTACACCGACCGTCAATAATTCACTGCTTGTTCAGTCGAACTGAAAGGAAACGTCTACAAAGACTCAAATCAATATTATGGCAATGAAAGGGGGCGCTTCTTTTTCATATTCTCTGCAATACTCTGTTCCCCCAAACAGGGTGAGAATGGGCTGATCTGCATTTCTGATCACTTCTGCGTTCTCACTCTTGCTGTATTAGCCTCAGCACGCCTGGTTTAACGCATGAGCACATTTAGAGAGCACACATCAGATGGAAAGAATGACAGGAAAACAAAAAGTGTCTCGTAGGACACGAACACCGACCATCCAAAGAATAGAGCCTGACAGCTGTTCAAACTGGTGGGAGCCACTCCAGCGGGACTTCACCGTAGCCAGACCAAAGTCCCCGATCTTCACTGTTAGGTCCTCATGGAGGAAAATATCTGGGACAACGGGTCAAGGAAACACTCTGAGCTCCTTCATATTCCAAGTATGGATTTTCCATTTTGATCCTTCATGAAATGACAAAAAACCAAAACACTGACGTGACAATAACGACACACACACGCTGGATGCTACAATCCAGCGAATCAATAAGCAGCGTTTCTTCTTCAGTTCCAGATGTTCTGTATCGTGTGCAGTGTTGTAGTATTACGCAGTATTGGACAATCACTGCATTCTGATCCCATCACTTTGGTGGATGAACGGTAATAATATCATATTTGATATGTTGGTGCCTCTGTCTGGGCCGGGGTCGTGGGAAGGTCCATACCTGCTGTAAGGTGTGCTCTTCTTATTCTCCCCTGAAACGAAGCATTTCTTGGTCCTGCTTACGCTCCTGTAGCACCAAGTCCAGCTTATCACCCGATGACTTTGATTCAAAAGGATACTGTTGCTCTTCAGATCTCTGTGTATGATGGACTTGGCATGCAGGTAACTGAAGGTGAAGAGCAAAGCGTCATTAGAGCGACGGCGCTCGTTGTGGAATTTGACAGCGCTCGATGTTTGAAAGGTTACTCACTCCATGCCCTGAGCGGTCTGTCGGGCTATGTCGATCAGTTTGATCATCTCGAACTTGGTCTCGATGATGTGCAGGTGGTGGTACAGACTGGAGCCTTCACACCACTGGGTCACGATGGCCAGCTGGGGCTTGGTGGTGTAGCCCATGAAGAGCAAGATGTTCACGTGACGCGTTTTCCTGGTGCAAACACACAACGTGTTCAAATTACAGCAGGTTTACACTGATGACGCAGGATGCATCAGTAAGGCGACGTTCTGCAGCGTGCAGCAGCGCGCTGGTGCACAAAGGAGAAGGCGGGGCTTACCTGAGGACTCCCACTTCATTCTTGAATGCCTGAAGCTGCTGTGGCGTGGGAGCGGTGACATTCAGCATCTTCACTGCCACATCACCTGAGAGCCCGGGGACAAAATGATTAAAGATGACGCTAATTTACCAACTGCTGAGATTTAACAAGGAAAAGCTAACGCACGAAGCTCTAATCTGCTTTATTTATTCCAAATCTTTTTCAATTAAAACTAATTTCATTTTTATCTGTGGCGAGCAGGTTTATCCAGTTTGTTCACCCCGAGCTGATGGAAACGGTTCTATCGCAGAAAGAGCGCTGACCCAAACTCGTCCCTGACCTTAACCTGCTTGCTGGTCCTGCAGGACTAACTGATGCAGGAAGCGGCGTGTACACGCTGCTCATCAAAGTATGAACACAATCAGCAGGCAGGCTGCGGCATGTAGACGGCGCTCTGTAAGTGTCTTTGCGTGGGGTGTGACGGCGTGGCGCAGTCTTACCGTGCCACTTTCCCTTGAAGACAGTTCCAAAAGATCCAGAGCCTATCCTCTGACCCAGAGTAATCTGACCTTCCGGGATTTCCCAGTCATCACTGGAGTCCCGCCTCCCCAGGGTTTTCTGTCATACAGGACACTCGATCAGCACGAGCACACAATGAGACGCAGCACAACGCTAGCATCTGCGGACGCCACTCACCATCTTATTGCGGTCCTCGGACGAGGAGGACGATTTGCGCTCCCTCTGCGGGCACGGCGACTTCTGTGGGACCTTGACGTTGGTCAGAGAGCCAGGCAGAGAGGCGGGAGGCGTGGCCGACAGACCTGTGGTCGAACCTAGAGAAGAAGATAAAGAGTAGTGAAAGGTAAAGGTCTGGAAGTGAGGGACTTGTCAAAAACAGAGAAGGCAGGAAGGGAAAAAGAGAGAGAGAGACTGAGGCTTCAGCATCAGTGTGTGTGTGTGTGTGTGTGTGTGTTCACATGTACAGGACAGGTGAGGGCGTGCTTGGCTGGATGGCAGCTGTTTGTGTCACAGATTTGATATTTTTGGTCACTGATTCTTCCAAAACAAAGGTTCGAATACGTAATCATCTTTGTTTCTCTGAACGGGTCCTGAAGTTAAGATTCAGAGGTCCTGAAAGAACTACAAAAATGTCGTCCCGACATTTTCAGCCGGCTCGTTTGAAAACAGACTTCACAGTAAAAGCAAAAAAACTGCTACTTCTAATCCGAGCCAATCAGTGTGCAGACCGGTTTGGTCAAAGGAGTGCACAGACTACGCCGTACTCTGGCACTCTGCAGCATGGAGGCGTTTTATGTTTGCGACACTAGCAAACACCTTTTTGATTTCAAACAGCTGCCAGTTCAGGCAATGGCTTCATATCCAATAGCTACAGATGCTACAGTTAGCTGTGATGTCTGAATAGAAATGGAAAAAAAAAATCCTGCAAACGAATCAATGGATCGTTCATGTCGACCAAAATCATGATTCAGTTATGAAGCTGGGAGGCTTTGGAAATCTTACAAAGACGACATATTAAAAGAAAAACACGACTCTTTGTTATTATGTAACAGTTACAAACTGATTTTAACAGCCTGCTAACAAGATGTTGCAGTGAACATCAAGAGGCGGGCTTTCTGATTAACATGTCATTCTTTTTGACTGAACACAAGAGCGCCTCCATCAAAGAAACCGCTATCCATCGAGCAGGCAGCGTGTGGTACTGCGCCGTGAGGTGTATGGCTGAAGGTGCATGTGAGGGCACAAAGGCAAAGAACAGAGAGAGTGTGGAGGGAGACGGGGCTGAGGTGGAGATGTGGGTGGGTGGGGTGTGTATGTGAATGGAAGAACAACACAGGAACACAGAGGCCTAACTACCTCGGAAAACAGGCTCGGGCTCAAAATCAAACACTATGTCATTGGGATAGGAGTATAGGAGGGGGCTTGAGGTCCGTGTTCGGTGCTTCCTCAAGCAGCAGGCGGGGTGGGTCGGGGGGGCTGCAGGGCAAAGAGAGACAGACAGACCATCACTGCTACTCAACACGCCCCTGTCACTAACTAGGCTCTAACTATGGCTACACAGTCAGAGCTATAAGCTGTCAGTCAGGGTGACTCCAGGGTTTGCTCTGGGCGTCCTCTGCCATGAAGTCCATCTCCATGGTAACTCACACTGTGAGGGTCCAGGTTAGAGATCGACTGTTGTGGAGTTTTTGGATGACGTGTACACCTGCAGTAAACGTCAGCAGATGTTTGCTCTCATGCAGCAAAACCAAAACCTGTCTGCAGTCAGAAGTAATGAACACAATAAAATCACCGCAAGGATTACATGATCATGTACACACACGCACACACGCGCACACACACACACACACACACAGGTTTTTAATACTAAACTACTGCACAGCGCTCTGACACACACCGTCTGCAGCCGTGTGTTACTTCCAGCATATATTTCGTGTATTGTTTCTTTTATCACAGAATTTTTTTTCCCAGCTTTCGTGTCCATGTGTAGCTGAAACACTGGGTTAGCTTATGATGTTTGTAGCTAGCTTCACGTGACTGCTTACTCTGACAACTTAAGACCACGGCTGTATCCCAACTCAGGGTCTGCAGCCTTAAAGGCCGCATTTTAAGGCCGATTACGTCACATCGACGCGACGAAGGCTGTCCCAATTCAAAGGCTGCTCAAAATGCGGCCCTCACATGCGTCCTTCATTTCCCTGAATTTTAAGGACGTGGCGGTGTAGACTTCGTGGCCCAACATATCCCAGAATGCATAGCGCGGCGGTGGGTGTGGATAATTTTGCCGGACAAAAACGGCGGATGAGGGGTGGCCGAAGAGTAAACTTTAAGTAAGTACTGAATATGATGTCACTTATTTCTGTGCAAATGTTTAATAACGAAGAACATTAAAACATTCCTGTTGGCCACATGTCGGCTAAGTCATGTGACATTAGTGACGTTTGTACTAACTTGGTTTTAAAGCCTTTACTTTAAAATATAGGCCGTTCAATAGCTGAGCTTAATCAGAGAATGATCAAAGCTCGTGTAGAAACAAACAAACACATGAACAAAAGATTTCATTCCATTTCTGTCAAACACAGCTGTATGACACGTTTCCAGCTGTTAGTATCATGGTTGCTAGGCAACCTGGGCAGCGCAACAGAGGCTAGTCCGCCCATTTCACAAGCCTCGCACTTCCGGCCTTAGCGGTCTTTGAGTACGCGGCCCTCGAGGATCGTTGAGGCTGCGTACTTTAAGGCTGCAGACCCTGAATTGGGATGCAGCCTTTGACTGCACTTTGTAGTCGACTAATAACTGAACACCACTCATTCCCCAGCATGTCTTTATCCGGTCTTCCTTCTCTCACCCAAACCGGTCGCAGCAGATGGCCCCGCCCCTGTTAACAGGGAGTTTTTCCTTCCCGCTGTCGCCAAAGTGCTTGCTCATAGCGACTGTTGTGATTTCGAGCTGTATAAATTAAACTGAATTGAATTGCAAGATTAGTTTCGGGATCTAAAACTGCCACACTGAATGTAAAACAGTCCACACACGTGTCACAGATGTCCCCTCTGTATCTTACTGCACACCCAGACTACACTGGAAACATTGTTCAACACTGTGCATGTATTGCGATGCTTTGCTGCAGAGCTGCTTTGTTGGAACTTTTGGAAAATTTGTCAAATGTTTTAGTTTCACGTGAGGAGGAGCCGAGCCTGGAGGAGCACTCAGACCGCTCATCCTCGAAAACCCCTGACCTTCAGCTCACGGCTCTGTGACTGGCAAGGCACAGGACTGAACGCACACACACACGCACACAGATAAAAAAAATTCAAGAGCACAGAGATGTGAGATGATGGGGAAAAAGTTGAGTGTGAAGTTTCCCTCTTGGATGCTCACCTCCATCTGACCTCGGTAAGCCCTGATCTCGAATCAGGTCCTGAAATAAAGAAAGCAAAACAAACATGAACACAGTGATTTCAGCAGCTGCAGAGGGTGAAAAACACACTTAACATAAATACATGAGGATTTGCTCCGAGTGCAAACTGATGGTATTTACAGAGGGTAAAGTATTGAACACGTCACCCACTTTTGAATTAAATGTGTAAATGACATGAAATCCTCACCAGACGTTGGTAACAATCCATCCAATCCTCACGTGCACAGAAATCAAACCACAGGTGTCCAACAATTAAGTTATGTGTAATAATGAGAAACGATTGAACACATGAAGAAAAGACCTGGAACAGCAGCTGAGATCTATCAGTAATTAAAAGTCCTGCCAATTAAAGCAAATTAATGTCAGCTGGTTCATTTACAACTGATGGCCCGTAAAATGTGTCTCATTACCAACCAGTCGCCCAAGAAACATCTCATGGTGGGTAAAAACTGCTCAAGTGTTGCCAAACATACTGATGGTTCCAGTTACAAATAGTACAAATACATAACCTTCTCTCTGCCCAACCAATCACAGCAGATGGCCCCGCCCCTCCCTGAGCCTGGTGCTGTCGGAGGTTTCTTCCTGTTAAAAGGGAGTTTTTCCTTCCCGCTGTCGCCAAAGTGCTGCTCATAGGGGGTCATATGATTGTTGGGTTTTCTCTGTGTGTATTATTGTACGGTCTACCTTACAATGTAAAGCACCTTGAGGCGACTGTTGTTGGGATTTAGCGCTGTATAAATAAAACTGAATGGAATTGAAAGTTGAATACATCTTGATAAAAATCTGCAGCCATCCACCGGCATGAGGAAGATGAAATAAGGGTGGACGTTTCAGCAAGACGACGATCCCCCGAAAACAGCCGAGGAAACTTAATCGGGTTCAGAGAAATGTTAGCATTGTCCAGCCAATCACGTGACCCGATCCCACTGAAACTCCACGGAAAGAACTAAAGACGGGGCCCACGGAGCCCCGAGGATGTGGAGACTGTTGGTGTTAAAGACTGGGTCGAAATCACACCTGAGCAATGCGTGCGATTCGTCTCTCTGTACAGAAGCTGTCGTTGTCATCGGCGACAGTTTTTACATTTGTATTAAATAAATTTCAGCGAGCATGTTCAATAATTCTTCCCTGTGTCATTTCTCCTCATTACATATAATATTTGGACATCTATGGTTTGATTTCTTTGCATGTGTGGATTGGATGGGCTGTTGTTCAGGGAAGTAAAATACTGCTAATAAAGAAAGTAAATAATAAAGTGTTATCAAAGTGTTATGGAAGAGTTTGTCCATCAGAGCGGCTCCACCGTCTGTGGACGATCGAGAGCTTCTGTTGTCAACTTAAGGAAGTGTATTAACTGTTATTTTAAGGTCAAGAGCACAAAAGAAATAAGAGACTACATCATTCTGGTCAACTGTAACACAACTGTTACACGTCTGTAACACAACTGTTACACGTCTGTAACACAACTGTTACACGTCTGTAACACAACTGTAACACGTCTGTAACACAACTGTTACACGTCTGTAACACAACTGTTACACGTCTGTAACACAACTGTTACACGTCTGTAACACAACTGTTACACGTCTGTAACACAACTGTAACACGTCTGTAACACAACTGTAACACGTCTGTAACACAAGTGTAACACATGCTGGACGTTGACGTGAAACCATAGGGCGCTGTGTGAGGTGATGAAAAACATAGAATGAAAGAAAATTCTCATGTGTCAGCGAGTCCAGCGGACTCACATCGATGTTGACCGGTTCGATGGTGTTGATGTGCACATTGGGGGCAGAGGATGAACGGTCCCGCTGGCCAAACTGGTTGCGGTGGTCCTCCTCGTTGGGCCGGAAACTGGGCGGGATGGGTATGGATTTGGACGGCGACACAGTGGTGTGGCATATTGATCTGGACAGAAAGCCGCTGGTTAGTACTTCAAACTTCAGACTCTAAATGTTCTGCTGAGGAAACAGAAGGAAAACGTCTCCTTTTCGGTATGAGGCTGGAGGACTCACCCAGTGGAGTCGGATGGGGGAAGTGACGGACAGGCCTCAGACACAGGCGTGGTTCCCTCTGAGGAGACCTCCTCCTGGGTGAACGGGTGGTGCTCAAAGAACTTGGACACTAGTAGCAAGCTGCAGAGGACACGCCGAAAACATACGATTCAGGCACAGTTGGAACTGTAACCTTAAACAGGCCAAACAAGCACTAACACACATCCTTTCACACCGAGCACACTTGTTTCATTTGCCTACCACAGGAACCAACGGTGAATTTTGGAGCTTACAGTAACTCGTTTTTATGTAGTCATGACATTTCTCTCTTTTTTGTTGCACTTTAAAATCTGAGGCATTGTTTGAACCCATTGAAGCTAAAAGCCTGAATATGTCATTGCTCTTTGTTACCATTAAGATGAATCAGGATCTGTGCAGACGACAGCTTCGTTCTGTTCGCATTTTTACTGCCGGTACCGTCCTGATCCCTGCTTCCCTGTGGCAGTCGCACATGTACAAAGATACAAGTGTAGCTGCCTGTCAGCGCGTAACTGCGGGTTCTCAGTGTCACGAGCAGAGGTCACTGAGCCGAGCCCGTGGAGCCATAACATCCTTATATCGTCCCAAACTGCTCACAGCAGTGTGTGCCTTCCTGCACTGAACTTACTCGAGCTGGTCGTAGTTGACGCACATGAGAGGAACCTCAGTGCTGCACCGCTGGTGGAACTTGTAGCCACAGGTCTGACAGCGGAAACCCTGGAACAACAACTTTCTGCAGAAGTCACAGAAGGCCAGTGTAAAGAAAGTCTTCCTCACCTGTGGATCAAACAGAGACATACAGACCAGAGTCACCCCGGCTGCACTGAGCACTTCTCACTACGGGACACTTGGTTTTCTGAAAGTACTTACAAAGTTGTGTGTGGTGAGCGGCACGTTTTCCAACACTTCTACATGCAGCTCCTCCCCCGTCAGCCACGAGATGTCTGTGTCCCAGCCAATAGGCTTCTTCTCTCTGAAACAGGAAGTGGGGAGTATCGGAAACTGTCTACACCTCAGCCAGCCGTTGGTTTAGCCACCACACCAAGAGCGGTGCAAAACTAACCATGATGGTTTCCAGCATAAAACCCAAACATCCTACTGCTCCACTTTCATACAGCAGGACTCATGATACTGTGCGCACTGTATAACCCTCCCCACAGTGTGGGACGTGCACCGCACTGTTGTACATGACATGAGACTGCCTACATCAAAAATACCCGATGGCCATATGGCGGTCCCAACACATAGGCCTATGAAAACCTTCAGAAGCAATAACCTGACGTCAGCATTTTGTGTATGGTGTTATCGGTGTGTCACATCGTGCTGGAGAAAGTTTGGCCCTCCCATCTTTACGCCGTTGTTTTAGTTTGAGTTAAAGTTTACAGACGTTAATTTTGCAGCGATGTGCCATTCCATCCATCCATCCATCCACCCACGTATATCCGGGGCGGATCGTGGGGCAGCAGCCTAATCAGAGAAGCCCAGACCTCCCTCTCACCAGCCACCTCCTTCAGCTTATCCAGGGGAACTCCAGCCGAGAGATGTAGCCTCTCCAGAGTCTGCCCTGTTGGGACATGCCTGGAGCACCTCAGCCAGGAGGCATCCAGTGAGAGGAGGTTCCCTCCTTTCAAAAACAGCGCGTCAAACAGGCAATATGGCAACGGGGGTGGAGAAGTGGCGATTAGCGATTAGCTTATCCTCTGCACTGCTGCCCATTTCTGATCATTGCACATAACTTCTTTGCATGTGTGGACTGGATGGACTGTGCCGTGAGAACTTCAAGTCAGTAGCACCTTTACAAATATATTTACTTAGAAAATTATATTTTTTTTTTTTTGACAAGTGGGCCGGAAGAGTCGGCCATGGACCCAGGATGCACTGGACACACTGATGGAGCACATTCAGGTGTGGCCCATGTTGGACACCATCTCCATCTGACAACACTCTGCAGGTACGCTCTGAGGACTGCGCCATCCCTGTGACTGTGAGACACGTGGCCTCACATTATGTGGCTGTAGCTCAGAAGGTGGAGCTTAACCTCTACTATCTTGAAGGTTGGTGGTTTGATGCCTGGCTGCTCCAGTCTGCAGCCAAATATGCTTCCCATCGGAAGTACGACTGTTGGAAGATGCCCAGGTCTAGCGGCTGTGCCCCTCCACTACTGTGCTTGACAGCTGGTACGAGGTCTTTGTGCCGATATGCTGTATGACGTTGTTTCAGAAGTTTTGTGGTTATCCACATGTAGCTTTAAAAACCTGCGACGTGCGATCGTGTTCTTTTTAGAGAGAAGCTTTCCCTCGCAGACCCTCCAAACGTGCCACACTTGTTCTAGTTAGACTGTTATGAACGTTAACTTTAAAGTGCTAACTGAGGCCGATAGTCTAAGCCAGCGGTCCCCAACCCGGCGCCGGTCTGTGAGTCGTTTGGTGCCGGGTCGCGAGAGTTGAGGCTCGGGTGTGAAATTTACGGTTTTCAGGGTTTTTATCGTCAACTCCGTTTCCCCGGGTCTTTTCCCGTGTTGTAGTTGTGTCTTATTTTGAAAGAAATATTTACGCGTTACCATAGCGACCAGAGGGCATTAAGGGGCAGAGAGGAGGACGTTGCTCTCAATGTTGTTGGCGCATTTCAGGAGGACACTGCGAATAAAGTTACACAACTACACAGTGAATTCGCACTTATTATATTTCAATAAGAGCCCCGTTTTTGTCTCGGTCGCATCATTTTTCTGTCGTATTTATCCACCACACCTTAAAAAAGGTTGGGACCGCTGGTCTAAGCTGCAGTTCTTGGGTTTGTTTTAAAGTGGTGCACATTCAGACCTCGGGGTAAATTCGCTGAGGTGTCCGATCCTGTGGGTCATTGTGCCACACACATCTGAACCAGAGCAGCCAACTACTCAAACTTCTGCTTTCACAGAGGCGCTCACACTCACCACATTTCATGAAGTAGCCGTTAGCTGCTATTTGCTCTCTTAATCATTCAGAAGCAGTAAACAGAGATTCCCAGCTGTTACCAAACTCATTTTCATACTATAGTTCTTATGTCTGCAGATAAAGGCCTGAAGCAAAAAACTGGCTAAACATTAAATTGGAAGTATCCTGACTGCCAGACAGGGAATCTGCACGTGACATCGACATCAGTCCATTCTTATAATATCTGTAACGAGGCAGCAGAGGTAAAATTAACATAATGTCACAGTGAAGTTGACCCTTTAAACACAAACTGTAATAACTTGGTGAATTCAGGTTTTATGCTAAGAATTAAATCACTAGCACAGTCCTCTCATCTGGCAGCTTCTTCACATTTTTCTCAAACATCCTCGCTGGGAGGAGTCAAGACGTGAAGACGCGAGGAGACGCAGTGACATGAAACAGCGACTGATAAGTCTGTGAGACACCTACCCATCCTGTATCCTATAGACCGCACAGCACTCTGGAATGAGTCCTCGCATCATCAAGGCTTTCTTCAGGGAGTCCCTCACAGTCATCCCACAGCGTGCCGGCACCTGAAGGCAGCACAACGACACTCACTGAACTGACACAGAAATGACAGGACGTAACCAGGTTTGGGTTTTACATCTCTCAGCCAGCAGCCACAGGTCATCGTTTCAGGGAAGGCTGGCAGTACAGTAGTATTACATTCAGTCAACTCGCCCGACATCCGCCGATCGTCAACATTCAGAGAACCAGAACACCGACGATCCAGCTGACGTGCAGGGCTGGGCCTCGCTGGAAGCTTTACTCTGACTTTATGGGTCAGACTAATGCTCTCAGCCTTCGTCTGCATTAATCCACAGCAGACCTGTGAATGCACTTCAACCTGCTAAGACCTGAACTCTTCCACAGCAGCATTTTTAATTTCTCTTTGATATTTGGGCTGATTGGGACCTGATGAACGTAAAAACAAAGAACTACCAGATTTTTTTTCTTTACCTGATGTTTGTTTCTAAGAAAAATCAGAGCCACATATGAAGATATTCGTTTGAAATTTCGACAGAACAGTGGCAGCATAAAGTCCTCGTAAGTGGATATCAGGCCCTTGTAGAACAAAATTGAGTATTCTGGTCTAAATAAACCAAAATGTGACGTCCACACATGTGGACGCAGGTCCTAGGAGGTTAATGACAAACTGAAGTTTTGTGCAGATTTATGCGGAAATCACCACACAAGTCACAGAGGCTCCGAATTACTCCCAAGCTGAGCCAGACGCTGTCACACAGAACTACGTTTAGCCAGAGACAGAAAAGAGAAGCAGCCGTCCTGTACATGTCTGAGTCGATCTGCGGGACTTTTTTTTTTTTTATAATAGCAAAGAGTTTGTCTTAGTAATAAATACCAAGTCAGTACGTCTTCTTGGCTATAATCTTTAGTCACATTTTACTTTTCAAAGTTAAGAATGCAATGTTTAAATCAAGGCTGATGTTTCCTCAAATGTGCAACAATAATTCAGAGGAAGAGCCAAGCTGATGTCCATGATGGACACCACCAACCACAGCTGTTACAGCCACGGTGCAGGATGAGCTGCAGGAGTCAGACTGAACAACGTGCATCAATCATTGTCTGTCTGACCCTTTTTGCTGCTTCACGAGTGCATTTCTCTGGTGAGGGATTAAGATGTTGAACAGTAAATGGACTGGTTCTGATACAGCGCTTTTCTACTCCAACCACTTTAGACAACTTGCCTCATTCAGCCATTCACACAAGCACTTTTTTTTCTACACCCACGTGCTTTTTATCCAACAGTCATACTAACTCTGAGATTCAGGGTTAGTATCTGCCCAATGCTCGACTGTCAACTGAATGGAAATACAAATACATAAAGGGACTTATAATATTTATGCCTTAATGTAAAACCACGTTTTATTTTAAACTAGATTTGTATTGCTGTGAGCATCTGACAGCGAGTGAGACCGAGCACTTTGTGCAACCTAAAGTCAAAAAGGCTGCACGCCGTCTTTCATCTCTGAGGTTTTATGACAAAATAATAATCACGTGTTCCTCAGCAACACGTTACATGTTACACTGTATCATCATTAACTCAGCAAAGACTAAGTCAACATGAAAAAGCAGTTTGTGAAAGACCAGATGCAAAGATCACCAAGAGGATGTATTAACTGAACATCTAATATCTGCTGCTGCAAATGAAGCGCTGGCTCTCAGGAGCCTCGTCAATCAGACTTTCGTGCCTTAAAATCCACATAAGCATCCCGAGAGAGTGGCTCACACTTACCACTGTTCGCTGTTTGTTGGGCAGGAAGACCCTGACAATGGGTTTCTGGGGGGAGCGAGGGTTGGCTCGGCTTGTGTCAGTGGGGGTCTGCAGGACAGCCAAAGTGTTTGGGGCCGAGTGGAAAGCCTGAGGCCCTGCACCAACCCCACAACCTCCTATCTTGACTTCCAGAAGGGCTGGTATAGCAGACTGAGAGCAGGAGAAGTCTGCGCTGTTCCCGATGGCCTCCAGCAGCTGCTGCTCCCTCTGCTGCAGAGCGTCCAGTTTACTGGTGTACTCCTCATAGGCCTGCCAAAGAAGAACCGTGAGGAACGAACTCGACAGCTTCAACACCTCCGGTGACATTTACGAGGGTCACAGCAAGTTCTGTTCACATAAGCCGAAACGATCTTACCTCTAGATAAATGGAGGGAGGGTTGTGTTCTCCGCCAAACTTGTCCAGGAGAGCCTCCAGATGTTCTTGTGTTAACTTTATCATCTGTTTGATGTTCCAGATCTGCAAGGAAACAGGGTAAAACGTAAATACCTGCACGACTAAAAAACACATTATCATACCAGCTTTACCAGGATCAGATAACATGGACACCCCTGGAGATGTACAGATGTAATCAGTAAAAAACAATAAAAAATAAAGTATTTAATTGGTTCTTTCTTTCTACTTTTAGGACCTCTGTGAAGTAGCTGGGGACACTGGGGCTGTAGCTGCTTTACTAACAGGTTGGTGTTCGATCGCTGGGTGTTTGGTGGAGACACCTGTGGCACATTTTTGTCACGGGGGTAGGAAAGAACAACACAAGAGCCAACCCCCCATCAACCCTTATCACATGCCGAGAGATGAAACGAGCAAAACCAAATAATTTATGCATCATTTATATTGCTACACTCAGGGGTTAAAGGTGGGCCAGAACCAGCATTAGGTTCATTACTCAAAAAAAGTAATGTTTACACATTACTCATTACTTTTCTTTAAACCAAATGTTACTTAGTTTCTACCAGAGTACACCTGTTAGATTACTTTTGTCTTTGTCTGTAAAATGATCTGAAATATTGCATAATTACCAGCTCGCAATATAAATCTGAGACTACAGACTCACACCAACAAAAATCCTTATGCTAACACACACACACACACACACACACACACACACACCATTTTTCTTTTAGTTTGTTCATGCATGAACTCAAACCAAACACACACAGTGAAGATGAACACCAGAGCGACCGTTACAGCGATTCTCCTTCACAAACACGAACAGGTTGACATGGATGCTGCGCCGCTGCCTTTGTTACCTGATGAAGTTCAGCACGATGTAGCCGCTTCTGTCCTGGGTGCAGTGTTACTGTTGCACTCTTATTTTTAATTGCTCTAAAGCACTAACGTAGTGACCATATCTACACTTACTTTGACATCGGGCCTGTAGCGGGACGAAAAGCAGCAAGCTCGATGTTTTTCCCTCTTTCTACCCACCCAGTGTGCAGATAAGCGAGAATTTTGTTAACACAAGTAGCAACACAATTGTAACTACAATTACTGAAACAGTACTCTGTTACTGATTACTGTAATATCTACAAGTTGTTGTTTGAGGCACTTCAGCGAGTGTTGGAGCGGAGCGAGGATGAAGACAGTAACGTGTAAAACACACGGTAAATACACAAAGTGCTTCAGTGTGTCAGCTAATGCTAATGCTACTGTATTACTCGCATAGACAGACAGCACAGGAAAGGAAAAGAAAGCTTAGAGCTAAAGGAAGGACAGCTCAGCCCTACGTTTCTTTCTCACTGTTGTCCCGACTGTATCATTATTCTGTGGACACAAAGTCATCATCTACAATGCAGGCGACAGGAAGCAGAAATTAGCTTTCGCTGAAAGGTAGATGGTCTATGCCAGGGGTGAGCGATCCAGGCCTCGCGGGCCGGTGTCCTGCAGGATCTCACCCTGGGTCAGCACACCAAATGATTAGTTCCTTTCCAGGCCTCTGCAGAACTACAAGACATGTTAAGGAAGTAATTTAGCCATTTGAATCAAGTGTTGGATCAAGGACACATCTAAAACCTGCAGGACACCAGCCCGCGAGGCCTGGGGTTGCCCACCCCTGGTCTACGCCTTAGCGTTGGGTGAGGAGGTCAGTAAGTGAAAGAAAATGTTTAACGAGGTGAAGTGCTACACATTTATGCGGCATCATTCATGATTGAAGAACGTGAATAATGGTTTAAAACACCTTATTAGTTTTTGACATTTTCCATTAAACGGTTCTCAAATGTCACTTAATATCCGAGTGTTTCTTGATTTGAGATTAGTCGTTTAGTCCAGTTTACTTTTCCTCGTTTAGTCGACCAAGTGTCAGGAACAAGGGTGATGTACAGAGCTGCAGAACAAAACAGAGGCACAAAGCTGATGAGGCATACCATGAAGACATGGGAAAGAGTTGAAGCCAGGTTAAGAAGAGAGGTGTCAATCAGTGCGTGGCAGTATGGTTTCATGCACCGAGTGGAAGAGCACTACAGATGTGACGCTTCACCGAGTCTTTATGGATCAGAGAAAGCAGATGATACAGTGCCAAGACAGGAGCTGTGGTTCTGCATGAAGAAATCAAGAGTGGCAGAGAAGTATGTGAGGGTGGTGCAGGACGGGCGTAAGGATGGTGAGATTACATCAGGGATCTGCTCTGAGCCCACTCTGGTGTGCAGTGCTAATGGGCAGAGTGACAGGTGAGGCCAGAGAAGCACCTGTTTGCAGACGACACTCATCTGTAGTGAGAGTAGAAATCCAATATCCTATGAGGTGGAGGAATGCTCTGGAGAGAAGAGATGAAAATCAATAGAAGCATAAGTATAAATACGAGTCGGGCAGGTGGGACAGTGCAGACGCAAGGAGTAGAGACAGTGATGGTAGAAGAGCTTCAGTAGCTGGGGTCAACCATCGAAAGAAGTGAACAGTGCACACGAGGGGTGAAGAAAAGAGTGCAGGCAGAGTGGAGGTGAGTGCAGGGGTGAAGCGTCAAAGTAGGATAGCAGCAAGAGGGAAGCAGACGGTTATAAGATGGTAATGAGACTTGCTATATGCATGGCTGGGTGTTGTTTGTGGCTGAGCTGCAGAGCAGGGATGGAGCAGTGGGTTCCGGCTGTGATGAAGGAGAGGCTGACGCCACAACAGCCAATTATGCCTCCCCTACTGAAGTAGGACAGGGAACCTGGAGGACAGACAGCTGAGCAGAGCACAAAGCAGAGGGCTGACTCAAGTGAGTGCTAGGAAGTGACTTCACAAGTCACTTCCTTCTCCAATGCCCTGTACCAACACAGAGCAGAGCAGCTA